CCTTATGGTTCTGGCCCCTTTTCCATTCTGGGGGGCATCAGTCCGGTTCCTACTCCACCGGCAAGTCGATTGGAATACATGAAAGACACACTCACGCTCTTCCCCTTTATGGTAGGAAAGTCCGAGGGCCGGCATTGATTACTTCTCGCCAGAAGGATGTACCAGCACCCACCCCTGCCTGAGTTAGCCTATTTACTTTTAATGGGTGGCTAGTGCCTGGTTAACAAACTTGTCGGTCCTTTTCCTGTTGTTTGTCCTCCCTCTAATTTTTTCTGAGTATTTTTGTGTGTGCCCAACTGAGCGCCCTTAGGTAGTGCTAAACAGTCGGTGGTTCCTCGTTTGGAGTGCCAACTGCACTCTTAGGGGGCCCGCTCGGTTCGGGATGTCTGTGTTGCCTGTAGGTGATGACGGATGCTCGTCAGAGTGTCTCCCTGGCTCAGTGGGTGGTGGGAACCAACAGTCTGTGGGGTTCACCCGTGATGTGAGTAGGTGATGTGCTGCTTTGCTCCGTGTTGGATGTGTGGACAACCCCGTCTGCGCTCCGCCGCTGCCTTGCTGCCCGTTCCGCTTGCCTCGCAGGTCGTTCTTGGCATGCTGCTGTCTTCGCTGTGTGGTGTGGCCAGGTTGTGGTGTTGCCTTGCGCTTTGCTGCTTCGCTGCCTTGCCACCCGTCCGCTGGTTGTGCCTTCCGCGTCCTTTGCTTGCACGCCCTGTAGTTTGGTTGTCGTGTTGGGGTTGCCTTGTGCTCCTCAGCGTGCTTCACTGCTTGGGTGCCGTGCTGCAAGTTCGGCATGCCGTGTCGTTCCTTGCAGTCGTTTTTGGCATTGTGCAGCCGTGTTGCCTCTACTGCACTGCCTGGTGCTCCACAGGGTTGCTGCCCGCTGCTATGTTCCGCTTGGGGACAATCTGCCTTCAACAAGGGTCAACGGGTTCATGACCCTAACCATCATATACAGAGATTCCGCAGATTGTCGAGGGTTCAGCCTCCTGATGAGTTGGTGCAATTCCGACGAAACAATCTTGTCATCATCAGTTTATTTTATTTTTTTCGGTCTTCCGATTTACTTGGCTTGTATTTTTTTCGGTTTGCCTGCCTTTGTGTGCTTGTGTGCCTGTTTCGTGTTCTTGCATGTTGTCTACGCTCCCGCCTCCCCCGTGCCCTCCAGCCTTTGTCTTGATGTCCTTTTGCTTGCTTTGCTCTGATGTTTTCCTTGTCTGCCTGGTCTTGGCATCCTTTTGGGACTTTGCCTGCTGGCGTGCTTGCACGTTGTCTGCCCTCCCGCCTCCCCCTTGCCCTCCAGCCGTTGTATCTTTAGTATCTATGTTGTGGGCACTCAGTGTCTTTTGCTTGCGAGTGCACTTGACTGCGAAGCGTTGGAACGCATCTTAGGGAGGTAATGTTGAGTCTAGTCCCCAGGGAAAACCATGTCTTGGTGTGAAGCCGACAACTTACAATATACTTAAACATCACACACACACACAAATGTCAAGCCCGCGGGCGAGGGGGGGCGAAGGCGCGACAGCAGGCAGGCACAAGTGGTGGTGTATATTTCCATGTTCTAGCAGGCGCAAGTGTGTGTGTGTGTGTGTCATCAGTTAGAGGATTCTGCAGACTGTTGAGGGTTCAGCCTCCTGATGAGTCGGTGAAACTCCGACGAAACAGTTTGTCACAGCCCCTCGTTTGTTGTCCGCTTCTCCCTCTCAGGCCACGGTTTACCGGGAAGCTCTGTTTGGCTTTTTTTTTTTTTTTAAACAACACGCCCCCGTCAGTGCTAGTGGTGCTGATAAGAGCAGACACCGCTAACACCTGGGGGGAGGCTCCATCTATTGGTGGGGAGCGACACCTGCTGGAAAACGGGTCCAGCATCCCTTACATGGACAGAATTCGAACCATATCAGAAAAACAGAGATGCGGAATATTCCTGCCAGCATTGATTACCCTGGGGTCCAGGGGATTGACTGAGCATAAAGAAGGTGATTAACCCATTTGTCATTAATGCTGTCTACAAGTTTCTTGTTTGGGCGCAGCATCCTATAGGTGGACTTGATAGACAGTTTATGTAGTTGTAGTGGTTTCCTTGTGCCATTGGATGGGGCATTTGGAAGGGACCATCTCCAATTTGCCCGGGTCAAAGGATAGCATTGCAATTGAAACCTCCGGCGGTACGCCTGAGATTCCCGTCCTTCTCCTGATACTCTAATCCTTAAGACCCGGACTCTTTCAGTTCATTGGAACGGGCTGTGGCTGCCTTCCATCCTGTTCCCTCTTTGTAAATTATATAGGTCAATTAACACGTCCTCAGGGCGGAGTGCTTGGTTCAGTCCTACCTGTCCCTCAGAGCGAAGCAACAACAAGAATAATGGTATCTCAAAGGACTTTTGCACCTAAGGGGGTGGGAATGCGAGACTCTGAGGCCTCGTCATCTTAACCAGGTCGTGTGGGTATTAAGTGAAGACTGCACCCCAGCAACTGTCTGGTAGGCTGTGAGTCGGGGTCTAGAATGCACAGATGCCTCTGCCTGGATAGAAACGGGTAGAGACTGCCTACCAGAGGGCCCAGACGCTGCCCTGCCAAGTGAACAAAAGGAAAGCAGATGGGGCATAGGACATTTTAGGTGGCAAGCTTCCACGTGCAGCAGCGCTGGAGCGGTACATGTATGCAAGCCAGCACCTATCAGGAGGCAGCACAGTCGTAGCTGCACATGTGCTCGGCATAGCTGGAAGGCAGCTTTCAGCACTGCAAAGGTTGGCAAGGGAAGAAGGAAGATCTTGGGAGAGGAAGAGGCTGTGGGGACAGCGGATACTTGGGGTATGGTGGAAGAGGACCCTTCTGATCAGACTCTTCAGCACATCTGGTGAGAGGACTGACAGAGATTGAGAGAGAGGAGGCTAGATGGTAGGCTAGAGTAGGAAAATAGTATAGCTTAGGGCGACTACTCTGTTGATGTATTCATTGTGGAGGTGTGAAGAGGGTTTTTATTATTGAGAGACCTTCATGTTTAGTATGTTGTTGGATTGGCGTGCTCTTGGCCTTGTCAATCTGCTCTCAGTTTGGTCTACTTATTCATGGCCTTCAATGAGTTCTTGCTGCTCAAAATTTGTATCTTCTCAATGCTGGTTTCTTGCACATACTTGGGTTCCTTCGTATTGGAGGAGAAAGACCCACGCTGAAGTTGTTTCGGATGGTCATTCTAACCATCAAGCGGTTCTGCCGTAATCTATTTCATGTGACACTTGGTACATTTTCAATGCAAAACGGCTTGCAATCTGTGCTCTTGAGAGCAATCCTCTACCTCCCCTACCCCCTCTTCAACTAATGTCATGCCTCTCTTGTGTCGGATGTAAAATGACTGCTGCAGGTTGGAGACTATGGGAAGGCAGAAGAGTGCTTTCGTGAAGCAATTCAGCTCGACAATGACCATGTTCAGAGCCTTGTTGCATACGCTTGCCTTCTTTGGCACAGGGATTTTCCTGCTCATGCAGAGGTGGCACTTCACGCTGCCATTGAATCATGGCAGCTGAAGAACAGTGCCCCGCAGGATGAACTGACTGTATTGATGTGGATTCTCCTTGCGCAGGTAGGTAAGGAACTCATCTTGTTCCTTGTAGTGCCCTCCCTGTTGACCGCCAGGCCACGATGGTGTTTCCTTTCTTCCCGTGTAGAATAGCCGGCTCACTCAGCAGACAATGTGTGTGTGTCTGTGTGGGTGTGTGGGTGTGTGGGTGTTTGGGTGGGTGTGTGGGTGTGTGGGTGTGTGCGTGTGCGTGTGCGTGTGTGTGCGTGTGCGTGTGCATGTGCGTGTGCGTGTGCGTGTGCGTGTGCGTGTGCGTGTGCGTGTGTGTGGGTGTGGGTGTGTGTAAACACGGCCACCCCGTATATACGGGAAAGAAGAACATCACATCTGTCATATCGCGACAGGTTAGTAGCAGTTTAAACATAGTGGGTGTTTTAGCCATCAACTCATCTGTGAGGATGCAAGAGGGTTTGCGATTTAGATTATGGGGGAGCATTTTAGTAATTAGAGTTAGTAATTAAGGTTAGTGATGGCTGTTGAGGACAGCCATAGGGGGGGTGCACGCCCTGAAGCACGCTTTTCGCCGCTTAGCACCCATAGCAGCTCGTCATAGGGATGTAACTCCAAGTTAGTTTGTAGGTCAGGGAGGTTAGGGGGAGGTGAGGGAAGAGGGGGCTTGGGAAAGGTTAGGGGTATGTTCGAGTGAACCCATACCTGTGAGCGGAATGCCTGTGAAGACGACATCTCTTCAACGGACGCCATTCTCCCTCTGTGTGTTAGGCCGCTCGTAGAACGCAATGGAGCGCAGCGATGGCAGGAGGGGATTAGAGAGTGTTAGCAATGGCGTTGTAGGTCTGCGAGCATTAGGTCGCTCGTGCTTGCTCAGCACGCGAGCATAGGCGAGGAAGGCAGAGTATGCTGTAGTGTTGCGGAGAGGTGAATGTGGGAGGGGGAGCGAGCGTCGAGCATTACAAGTTTACCTTGTTGTAGATGCTGTTTGCAGTGGTAGTATGTATATTATATATTGAGATTATCGTAGTGGTTTTGCAAGGTTCGTATTTCTTTGATGTATGGTGAGTGGGTATGATATAATTAGGGTGTGTGCGTATTTGGTGGGGAGGGTGGTGGCGAGGGCCATAGCTATAGTATATCCGAGGGGGGTTGGGGTGATTGTGTGTGATTTCTTCATGCAGCAAGGGGTAGTGCGGGTGGTATGCTCGTGTGAAGCAACGTTTTGCATGCTTCGTGTTTGTTCAATGTATGTGCTTCGTTTGTCCTATTAGAATGCAAGTGCTGTGTAGTTTCTGTGTTGTCTTGTCGTTTTGGAGTTTTGAAATGGCTATGGTGTGTGTGCATGATCGTCGGTGGGTTGGGATTTGTTTGGCATGTTGCTTTTGTCATTGTCGTGTGTGGAGTCAGTCGTGTCGTTTGGGTGTGGTGGCAGTGGTGATGTGTGTGGTTTATTCGTTTTGCTTGGCGCGGGTGTCGTTTGGTTTGGGCCCGCGTGGGATTTTGTCTTTCTTCGGAGGTTACTTCTTTTTATGTATGTGGTGGAGTGGGTGCTAGCGTTGTTAGAATTTTGTTGTTGTTTTTTTGAAAAACAATTTCCCATAACCGGTATCTGGCTTATTTCTCATATGCTTATTTATGTGTTGTGGGTGTTAGTTTAGTTGCAGGTGGCGTGGGTGTCGCGTATTACCGTGAATAGGGAGTGGCCATTTGACGTGATGCGTGTACGGTTAAAAAGTTTTTCAGCTCTTTTTCTATAGACATTTCTAAATAAACATTGTTCAATTTTATGGGGATCTTGTATCTGGGGGGGTTGTATGCGGGAAATAATTTTAATTTTGTTTTCTATTATTATTTAATTGATTAGTTTTTTTTTTTTTTTTTTTTTTTATTTTTTTTTTTAAATATATTACTTATTATTTATTATTATTAATTATTTACTATCATTTATTTAATTTTTAGTTTTCATATTTATCATTTTATCACTCTATTATGTGACTTCTTATTCTTATTATCAATGTATGGGTTGCTTGCTTTACATGTTTTTACTATTATTAAAAAATTATAAGTTTATTTATTATTATTGTTACTTATGTGTTGGGAGGTGAAGTTCTGTTGAAATATGTGTGTGTGTGTGTGTGTGTGTGTGTGTGTGTGTGTGTGAAAACACATGTTGCGAAGACCTCAGCATGTAATAAGTACATGCTCCACCTCACTGTCACCTCACAAGGTAAAGCCCCATAGGATTCCTCAAAATTCCAACATCCATCGTATTACATCACACCAGCAGAAAAAGCAGGGAAAAGACCACAACAAAACAATTCCTGAGAAAAGAAAAAGCGAAAAAAATAAACAGATGATAGATTGTTTCGTCAGAGTTGCACCGACTCATCAGGAGGCTGAACCCTCGACAATCTGTAGAATCTCCGCCCTTTACTTCTAGAACTGGCCACGGTCCTCTATACGCAGGCAGTAACTTCTGTGAGATGTTTTCCTCAGGAGCAAACTCTTTGGACTTGACCCAGACTAAATCGCCTACTTGGAACTGTGACGGGCGACGGTACTTATTAGCTTGTTCTATCATCTGATGCTGGGCCTTCCTGAGGTTCTCAGCAACAGTGGCTATCTCTTTCTCGTGCTGTATCGCAAACTCCCTGGTACCGGGTGGTAGCCTGTGAATCTGATCCCGGTTAAGTCCCTCACACGGTCTGTGCGGTCTAAAGGACTTGTGCAATTCATTGGGAGTGCGACAGGACAGAGGGGAATAGAAGAAGAGCTGGTGAAACTTGACTGTGTTTCCGTCCCTATTTATCGTTGACTATCTCGAGATCACTATGTAGCCGTCCTATAAAGGCTATCCATTCTGTTCGTTCTAATTTACTTTACCTTTATTTTCTGTTCATTGTGGGCATGTATCTAGAAGTGATCACGACCAGATACTTCCATCTCTGGCAATGATCACAGTCAGGCAAAGCATAGAGAGGACTGCAAATGGGCAATTGGAGGAAGGAGGGTGAAGAGGAGAGGGCGATACTTACCTGCACGCTCATTGTGTTGTCCCCTTGTCAATAGCCATATGCCTGTCTTATGGACTGAGCAACATGTGCCTAAGTGTGAGTGCTTTGCAGTGTCGAACTGTGTATTACTCATAAAGCAACTATTACTTTATTTTGTGGTATCCTTACCACTCCGGTAGTTGTGGTAGCTCTGAAGCAAAACGCATATAGAATAGTGTGGCATTCATTTGTTTTATTCTTGCTTACTTATTTACTGCATATAGGTGTAATTGCAGTCAGAACCACCTAGCATCTGACCACAAATTATGGCTATATACAGCTAGTTAACCTTCTCTTTAGTAGTTTTTACATCTGCTTGGTCAGTCAGTTGCGCACCGCTGAGGAAGGTTTGGATGGTGCATGAGCAGGTTGTACCATAGCAGTCAGAATGGGGACTTGAGGGTAGTAGGGCCTTGACTACAGCTTCACTGCGACATGACCAAGCTTGAAGAAAGCCAGGGATCATTCAATGTGACCAGACACCTCGACAGGGGTACAAAGAGTAAAACTGAAAGGAGCGGAATTTACTTGGGCAGTGCCACTGACTGCTCGACTCTCTTGTGCATTGGCGTCAGACTTGCCTTGCGTCTGATTTGTTCTAGCGTGAATATGACCAGGCAACATACATTATGAGCGGGATACAGAGTCCTGCACTGTACAACGGGCCATTGTGTCATTGTCTGTTTTCGCTGCTGCCATTAGAAATATATGTCTTTAATTTATTATTAAAAAACTAAATCGAGAAATGGTCCAAATTTTTATGGTACGGTCATACCACAGCTAATGCGCCCGATCCCATTCGAACTCGGAAGCCAAGCGCCGTTGGGCCGGAATAGAACTGGGATCGGTGACCTCCTGGGAGTCCCGGTGCTGTACCTAAAAAGAAAAAAGAAAAACAAACAAACAAACAAACAAAAAACAAAACACTGCGCCAGTGACTGCTGCACAGTTAAGAATTCGCAGAGATAACAGTCACTGCAAGATTGGGTGAAGAGCAGTTAGAAACTGCAAGAAAAACAGTAAACGGTGCGTTCGACGGCCTACCGGTTCGATAATTGGCAAAACCGGGACGTGGCCTGGGCTAGTGGTACCGCGTGACCTGGCCTGGCCTGGGAGCAGGTACCAGTAACAGGCCCTCCCGTTTTTGGTATCTCGCGGGACTCGGTTCGGGCGGGTAGCGGTGGACTGCGTTTTCGTATGGTGGCCACTGTTTTCGAAATTGCGCGGCAACAGTCGTTCGTTCAGGGCCCGTGCTCCCACCACGCCCCCCACCTTGCACTCTGCAGCAACGCCGTTCGTGGTTGAGGTCCCCACTCTCTCTCTCTCTCTCTCTCTCTCTCTCTCTCTCTCTCTCTCTCTCTCTCTCTCTCT